CAACAGATGTATTTAAATTATACCTTTTTGCTTATAATTACATTTGTGACGTTCATATTTTATATTTGTTCACACGTGAAATGTTTTATTATATTACTCATCGGCATGAACTTAATCCGTTAATTGCGTGTCAACCCTTTATGACGTCACTGAAAACTTTATGTCACGATGAACCTGTATCTATACGGTTATATATACGCACTACTTTCAATAATTTTTTATAAAGGGAAACATTTGCAAATGTAAATATAAAATGATAATTAACATAAAGGTTTTGCCTTCCTTACATTATAAAAAAGTTTCTGTGATTGAATGGAACTATCCATTAAACGTTGATCAGGATTGTTTAAGGTAGGTCGCGGGTTTACTGCATATAAATTCTTACGAGAAAACATATCCTGAAAATTTGATGTAATGTTCCTTCGAATTTACTGCGTATTATCTGAAATTTTTATTAAATTTGTTTACGTAGTTTTAATGTTATGTTACTGTAAACACGGTATAGTTTTTAGTACCTTTTTACGCTTTACTATTGAAAGATATGGAAAAATGACGTTTTTAAGCCAATTATGTGGAAAGAGTTTCTTTTAAAAAGTTTGGATAACTTTTTAAAGACGTAGACAAATTAGTCAGGAATTTCAAATTATCAAGATGAGGTAAAACCAAAACTCAAATTTGCAATGAAATGTTGCATTGGTTCTTCTATTAACTTGAACTTGCCCTAACGATAATACAGGAATTTTGAAATATAACTCAAACTTGCAATGAAAGGCAATATGAGTTAAAAATGTAATTATAAGCAATGAATCATTACATGTATTTCTTGAAAGATATTGTCTTATAACTGCAACAGTGTGTGCAAACAAATTTTCAAAAGGACGGCTAAGTAAAACAAGAGGCCAATGGGCCACATCGCTCACTGAGCACATGGGCTAGTTAAAAAAAAAACACAAATCAGCTCAGTATTGAAAAGTTTACTTGTCGGGGGAGGGGGTTGAATTTTTTTTATTACTTCATAATGTCACTATATCAATAAAGCATACATGTATAATTTCTCCATGCTTGAGAAGAATTTTAGAAAAAATTCCTTTATATTTCAATGTAAAGATTTGATTGCCTATCATAACCCCACCTTACCCAAACATGAACATGAATTAACTCTAACTGAGGATGTTTCCATATTATTATCACCAATAATAGCTTTGCTGATTTTGAGAAGAAGATTTGCCTATATATTCCCATGTGAACTTTGATCAGCCATTATGGCTCCGTCCGACCCCCTCGGGTCATGATTTGAACAAACATGAATCTACACTACATGAGGATGCTTCCATATGAGTTTCATCTTTCCTGGCCCAGTGGTTCTGGAGAAAAAGATTTTTAAAAAATGCCATTGATTTTTCATTAATTCATAATTATCTCCCTTTGGAAGAAGGCTTGGCCCTTCATTTGAACAAACTTGAATTCCCTTCACCAATGGATACTTTGTGGCAAGTTTGGTTGAAATTAGCCCAGTGGTTCTTGAGAAGAAGATGAAAATGTGAAAAGTTTACGACGACGACGACTACAACGACTACAACAAGTGGCCCATCATGGAAAATACACCTGCAGAGCTATTACTATTCATAATGCCATGTTCACTAAATAATCGTTGTTTATTACTTATATTTGCATTCTTTGATGGTGTCAAGAATATCAGAGGAAATCCTGGCTAACATAAGGATGTGGCTTGTTGTCTTCAGTAAAGAAAAACACATGGCTTTAAGATTAGTATACCTGATCATTGTACCTTTTCTCTAATAAATCACAAACAATTTTATAAAGTATTAGCCTCTTTTAAAACACAGTTATCAGATACAAGCTGCGCTGTCGTCATAGTCTCTTAATTTGTGTTTTGATGCAGATGTGACGTAATCGATCAACGTTATTGAAACCCTCTGACAAAAATCAAAACTGTAATTTAACCTTATTATAAAAAAGAGAATGCTTTAATAATCATTATAACTCCATAATGCTTTTCTATATGATTTAAAAAAAAATTTCTATTTATTTTTAAGAGTTGAAATCGTTCTTGAATGTTGCTTTTTATGAATGTTTTATCACTCAAGTGTGAAGAGTTATCGTTCTTTGTACAAATAAGCAAAAATACAGTAAGAAAAAAAAATATGACAGTTCTCTTTAATTTTTAAAAACTTTATTATACAGTTAAATACATTGACCAAAATTAAATTTTTAAAGATATAAATCAGCAGTTTTAAATTGTTCTGAATTTCTTTTTCCCCAAAAAATATTATTAAAAACTTGTTTTAATTCCTTTTACGAAACATTTCATATATATATACTTCTCAACACGTAATATAAGTGTATTAGAGCTTACACTACACGAGTGTGAAAAAGGAATTGCATTTATAGCAGAAGGAGTTGCGTCTATAGTGCTATGAATGCAGTTGATGATTACATGTTCATAGTGGGAGAGAGCAGTGGATATGCAAATATATAAATATGATCATTCATGCCCTTGCTATTCTTGACAAGAGGATTTTAAAGAATTTTTCTACATATTTCTATGTAATTTTGACAGGCCATTGGGTCCCAAGGGGTCATGACTTGAATACACCTGAATCTTCACTATCTGAGGATGCTTCCATATATATACGATCATTCATGTCTTTGCTATTCTTGAAAAGAAGACTTTTAAAGAATTTTCCTATATATTTCATGCTTTTACTAATAGGAAATAATCAATCCTTTTCCTCTTACCGTAAGTTTTTACTCCCGGGTGTTGTTGTGACAGTCAGTTTCTGTGTTGTGCAATCTCTGTACTCGTATGTTGTTACCCCAATCTTATCATCGGATGATAAGTCGTCATCATCAAAGACATGAACTGATATATCAAACGAGGGCTATGTGCAAGAAGGTAAAATTAGCATTAAATAATTGACGGCTTAATATCATCTACAAATCCATTGTATAAACATTTACCTGTCCCTGGATGTCTTTCCAAGAGTAGAAATCAGCGGATTTCAGAGAGTCAGCAAATAAAAAGCTGTTTGTGTTTTCAACTCGCTGGTTATTATCTTTCCCATAGCACTTCTGACTGTAGAAATTACAAGAAGAAATCGGATCAAGAACTTTGAATATTTCATTAGAAGATTCCTATGTCCACTAGGCTGGTTATTTGTAGTGTGTATCGAAATTTACTCTTTCATGCTTGTCATTATAATCATATAAAAATACATTTTAAGCAAAGACAGTCTGTGAAATCGTTAGAGAGAGAGAGATATCCTTACTCTTGTGTTGGATGTAATGGTTTCAAGCAGATCTGGAAAAAAACGTCACACTCCCCCGCACACCCAAGAAAATCATCACAGCAATCGTCTGGGTCTCTGTAATACTCCAATAACTTTACAGACACGTCATAGCCTCCATTAACCTATTATATACAACCATTGTAGGAAACAAGATCATAATATTTACTATACTTATTAAACTAACTAGCTATATATAGACGTTCAAGATGAGCAGATAAAGTCATCATTGTTAAGTGAAAATAAATAAAAAAAAATATCACACTTTACTTTAAATCTTGATTTTAATAAAGCCAACAAAAAAGCCCGTCAAATATGAATAAACTATAAAATGACAGAGAAACTATGAAAAAGGAGACCCGAGGTTTTCAACGTTTAAGGAAAACTGCAGATTAACAGGCAGTCATATAACTTTTGTTTTTGCGATATTTAGACACTTTTCATCGTTCCTGAATAAATAATTGGAAAAAAAGATGATCCAAAGAAAGATAATGATACGCAAAATTTTTTTCTAAAATACATAACGTCCTCAAATCAGAAAAAAATACTTTAGAAACTGATGTAAGGACGATTTTGGAAAGAGATCAAGATTGAGGAGATTAATGAAGGAAGAAAAAAAAATGTCCCCCAAAAGTTATGTTAAAAGATAGTATTAAAAATGAAGAGAAAGAGATATTATAAATCTGTACTTAACTAAATAAGAAAGTCAGAAATTTGACAGTTTATTAAAATGTTCGGAAAATACCATGATAATTATGTACTTAAATTTTTCAGTAAAATGATTTTCTGCTAGAATATTAATAATTGGAACCATTTACCTATGGATATGTCCATGTTTTGAAATACTTCTAGTATTGCTTTGATTTGGTTGAGTATTTATTGGCAAGTTTTGTGGATACTGTTTAAAAGAACTCTTCCAAGTTATTTAACACAAGTTTTCACACGCTGACAGAACATTAAATGCGTTAATTAATGTTTAAACTATTGCAGAAAAGGAGTTTTATGCCTTATTTCATCGCGTTCATTTATGGTATACAGTACTTCTTTGTTTGTTTTTTTTTTACCCCGATTGCTTTCTTTTCTCAGTTTTGGCTTACATTGATATAGAAAACGTTCATAATTTTCATATACATAAGCATTTTTCTTTAGAAAATTCTTCAATTATACAGGTAAATACAAAATAAATCATTTGTATAATGATATACAGGAATAAGTAATAATTTATTGTAGGGATGTCAAATCGGTCAATTTTTAAAACTCGGTTACTCGGACGTTTTTCCGATCGAGTACCCGGGTACTCGGTAAAAGTGTAAATAAGTATGAACAAGTAAATTGATGAATTTAAAACATTGTAAACTCTTGTAGAGATAAAACCACATGCATGCTCTGATAGGAGGTTTACCCGTAAATGCATTTCTGTTGTAACAATGATGAGCAATTCGTGTCCGACGAAATTTAATAATTTTTTAAAAATTTATTTATCAGATAAACACAAGAAATAATATCGAAAGTGGTTCACGATGTTTTTGTTTAAAAAAAATAATCTACTCCGTAATTGTAATGTAACTCTTTGTTGCGTTTGACGTCCAGGTTTCAGTCGTACAGTTTGACTGAACTTGGTCAAGTTTTAACAGAGCGGATTTACGATTTTCGTATACTTTTCGATCCTAGATTTTATAGTATTACGGCACGGTATTTTATAGTTTAGTGCAACGATGGACATCAGTTTTTTTTAAAGCCTTTGCCATCAACCATTTGTACATGAATTGACATGTAATCAAACACAATCATATCAATAATCGCGCGTGTAATATCATCTGTCTCTTTTCCCGAGAATTAACGGCTTCTCGGAGAACTGACAAAATTATCTTATTTATTCAATTATAACAGACCTTAAACGATGTCAGTGAAAACAAATAATTAAAGGAAATTCCAAAAATAAGGGTAGAAGACAGCCGAAGGTGAGAAAAACCAGGTAACAGGTGCTTGGTCACGATAATTACTGTATAAACACTGCCACGGGCGATAACGGTCATTTAGAGGAGTAGGAAACCCTAATTACTATATGTACAAGTGCAATGAGTATTTTACGTTTTAAAACAGATTGTTTAATGCATTAATAAATAAGCTTAGAAATATTCAAAAATATACATCCGAGTAACCGAGTACCGATTTTAGTATTCGATACTCGGACGTTCGATCGAGTACCCGGTTAACCGGGTACTCGTTGACATCCCTAATTTATTGGCATAATACTCGTACTCGAGCAAAATGCTAACTTTTTTTAACACGATTAGTTTGACTTTTACTATTAATTAAATTTTATTCATTCATTTTATTTTTTCCTATTCACAGTGATTTTATTTGATAATATTTTTTAAATGAGCTCACATTAGGTTTAAACATGCGTTTTTCTTTAAAAATTTTAAAAATGCAAAATCATTATGCTCAATTCACTTCATATAAACATTTATATCGTCTAATGTTTACCTGAGAAACAAAGCCAGTTAAGAGGGAAAATATTACAAAAATCCAGGCCTTCATCCTTCTACTGTATGCTAAAGTTATTCTAGGTACACCGTACAAAGCCAAGTTTCTTACTAAGACAAGATTCCTTACAATTTTCCTTTTATTCAGTTTTTCAGTTTTTTGAGGAAGTTTTTATGAGAAAGTTTTCTTTAGGATGAAATCGCACTTGAGAATGGCAGTGAGATATGTACTTAATAAATAAAATTAATTTCAGTACATTGTGTATCGGTAAAGATCCTCTAATAAAACAAATTACCAAATAAGTAAATGGATCAATGCTCAAATAAGCAAAATATGAATATTGATATTATGTGAGAAGGTATCACATTACGATGCATGGATAATAACGTCAAAGTGTCTAAGCAGCGACAATTTTTTTTTGGCTCAAAAAGTTGAATACTCCCCACCTAAATTCGGGAATTTCATTGCTACACATACTCGAGTTTGTGCACCTTATTACTCCATGAACAGTTGAGGAACCAATTTTGCACACAAATTGGGCTGTCTGCAGATTTATTAGTAAACTATTGACAGTACTCTCACTATCATTCAACATAAGAGACAACATTTTCTACGACGGTCTACAGTAACAACAGTCTACAACAGCCTTTGGTTATTGTCAGTAGCTATTTGTCGTTTGTTTTGTCATACCCAGGAAGTCGATCAAACAGCTTCTGCGAAGAATATCCAATTTTACTTGTATACTTATGTTATGTCTAGTGATATTTGTTTTTTATTACCTAATCCAATGAATTTTGTTGTTTTATTATAAATTTAATATTTTCATCTATTCTGTATGTGTTTTCAGTTTTTTTTATCTTTTCAAACCGATCTATTGACTGTCGATCTATTGCCCGGTCAATAGACTGCACATTCTATTGACCGGCAACGTATTTCGGAAAAAACCGATCTGGGTTTCAAATTTAGTTGTTTGTAACACTGCACAGGCATGGTAAACAGTCATCTTATTCCATCTTTCGAATTAAAAATTGTGTGATTTCAATGATCGGATATTTTATTTAAAGAGAATTACTTTTTAAATTAATACACTGTGGGACGTGGACACCGGTCGTTCGGGTGAGACCTATCAACCGAGGTCCCGTGTAGCAGTAAGTGCACTGCTGCAGTGCTGGCACGAAAAAGGTCCCTCTCCACCGGCAAGTGGTGGCGTCTCCATATGAGTAAAAAATTTTCGAGAGGAATGTTAACAATACTCTATAAAATCAATCTTTAATTAATATTACAAATGCACCATATCTAGGTATAAATTTACAATATGGTACGGGAACCTTCTGTACTGAATAAACAATGGTGAACACTTAATACGGAAAATAAAATTAGGTAATAAAACAATTATTTAATGCCTGAACAGTCAATAGACAAGATTTTTTTCCATTGCTGCAGGGAACAGCTCAGTGTGTTCTATTGCCCTCGGCCGCTGGCCTCGGGCAATAGAACACACTGAGCTGTTCCCTGCACCTCGGGAAAAATATTCTGGTCTATTGACTGCGCAGGCATTAAATAATTGTATAATATATGTGTTTTCTTCTGTAGTCATTAAAAGTCTCTCAAAGCCTTATTACTACTTCTAAATGACACTGAACTGCTCTCCGAATGCACCTAATCTCTGGAGTTTTCCCATTGCCCTAATACTAATACGGCTCGATAGTACATCACTTTGTGACCCTTCATCATAAAATATACTACAGAAACAAATTACCAAACAACATTTATCAATAATTTGGATATTTAGTCTGCTGATTTTAGCAGTTGTTAGGAAGAAAAAGTATTATTGAAATTTTGAAGTCATCGTAGGCCGGAAAACAGTCTTATAGAGAATGAACCTTTGTTTGTACAACTAATACATTCAATTATCTTTTTATACCAATATGCACTTTTCTATAAAATGTTTTTAAAGAAATTAAGGATTATTGCATTACATCAGCGTACGGTATCATACTACAGGTTTCGGGTGTTGCTGAATGTAATGACAATGTATTACAATGGAGTACATAAAATCAAAGTAATGCTAGTAATATGTAGTAAAATATCTGCATTACTTGTAATGGTGATGTAATGCATCACTTTCTCCAAACTGGAGTAATACTGTAATTACCCAGCATAACAATACATTATCTTGTATTTTTGTACCTATATAACCATCTTCTATAATATTTAAATGGATTGGAAAATCAGTAAGATTAGAGAATTTTAAATAGAATAAGCATGAATTAAACATTCCAACCTAATACTGAATTTAAACTTATATATATTATATATTATATATATTATACACTTCAACGTTAAAAATTTATCATATTCTGTCTTGATAAGAATAATTTCATAAATTAATTTTTTATCCCTATGTTAGATAACTTTTTATTTGAAAGAATTTTCGATGAACTTTGTAAAATAAATTGCAGTATGAAGAACACAGATTCAGGTATATTATAAAGTAATAATTGACACCTGGAAAATTCAGTTCAATCGTATGATTATGTAATAATCCAAATAATGTATTGTTCTTCGTCGTCTCCAGAAACTAGTTCTTCTCTCCTGGCCGTGTTTATGAAACATTAATTGAGTTGGACCAGCCGGAGCTGACCATGACAAATCCATTCTAAAGAACACAAGAAGGCAGACATGCCACTTTTAGAAGAGCAAAATTACACACACTTTCCAACCTTTCTTGAAAATATGACTGTTTATTTTGTGTATAGGTAACTAAATTAAAAGTATGTTCGATAAATTCAAAACGTTCAGAAGTGGTTTTCTCTGTTTGTGTGTTTGTTTGTTGTATTTAACATCCCTCTCGAGAATTTTAACTCATATAGGGATGCCACCACTTGGGCGATGGAAAGCTGCAAAATTTTGACCAATGCCAGGCGGGCACTCGGTGTTATTGAACAGTGTGAGATAATTTTAGTGCCAACTTATCAGGTTTTATCCGAAGGACCGGTCTCTGCGTCTCGCAGTGGAATCGAATACGACGAAAGCATCACTCCTATTCTCTAGAAAATTCAATAACACTGGATTTTCAAAAAAAAAGCCTATTTTCCAATACCCGTATTCTCAAGAAAAAATTATGCTAGAAAATGAAATAAAAAAAAATAAATCTTTATCTTGATATGTGAATTGAGAATGAAAGTCAATTAACTGATATAAGGAAAGGGGCCATTTCATGCATAAAGAGAACTTCGATCTTTATACGGAACAAATATGCATTACTAAATCTGTGCAGCAATATTTACTTTGAAACAAATTACAGTTTGATATTCTTGTCTTGTTTGTATCTATTGTTACGTAATGGATTTGTCATCAGAAGATCGAACAATAGGAATTTTCCGTCTAGATTTTGAATGAATTAAAAAAAAGGTATTATTTCCATTTCTTTCACTGAATTCAGTTTTTGTGTTTTTTGTAATTGTAAGTTCTTTGTCATTTAATTTCATACAATGGTTTTCAGAACATAAATGATAAGATTATATTGATTAGATAATTATTAAATTATTACTGAAAAACAATGTTTAAAGAGGTGTTGTTATTCTTGCATAGACACTAGTATCAAGTTAAGAAAATAAGTGCATACAATCATGTCTTATAGGAATTTTAGATTTTATTTAGCATTATAATCAATTTACAAAGTGTAATATTTTTATCATATTCTGTCAAAATAACAACACTTACATGAATGAATTTTATGCCTATATTACATCAACTTTTATTTCAAATAATATTCAATTGAGTATAGAAATCTTTTTGCAAATAAATTGCTGTATGAAGAATACAAATTAAGATACATTATCAATGAATTATTGATACAGTGTACCTAAAAAATGATAGTAACCTGTAGTTTTCTGTAACAATCTCAAAAACATTGTTTAGAGAATCTCCAGAAATTAGTCCTTCTTGCTTTCCTCGCTGTTTCTATGAACCATTATTTGAGATTGACGAGCGGGACCTGGCCATGACAAATGCATTACAAAAAGACATGCTGCCTTTAGTAGAGCAGAATATAAGGACTCTCCAACCTCTTTTACTTGTGAATATGCTTATTTTTTGCAAATAACTAGATCAAACCTACGCCTGATAATTTAAAAATTAAATACATGGTTCAGGGGAGGGAGTTTTCTCTGCTTTTTGTTTGCTGGACTGATTATCTGACATCCCTATTGAGAATTTTTTACTCCTATGGAGACACTATTTGACGGCGAACGGCTTCAAATTAATACCTTTTTTTCGACACTCAATGTATAATTATTTTATGCCCAAATTGCTTGCAAATCTAATTCGCCCCAAGCCAACCATACTTCTACCACATAGAATTACCTTGGAGACAAATCCTGTGAATAAAACCACTGCATGTATCCAGGTCTTCATCTTCACTTTGCACTACGTTATTTTGCTCCGCCTCCTATTTAAATCTAACTTGAAAACGGAAGGCAAGAGTTTACGAATTAATCTTCTACTTTGTTTTTTGTTAAAAAAAAAAAAGATTGGTGAAGAAAGCACGCAATTTGTCTATTGTGTCAATTGTAATCAACCAAAAAAGTACACAGCTCTTAAAATAATCATATGATAATGTAATTATATGTCTAGGAAATCCGATGATAATCAAAATGGAGGAAGATAAGTGAGAAAAAGCTGGAAAGATGTCAATATTCAGAGAAAGTATTCAACAAAATACCAGAAAAGAGTAACAATACAATAAAAGAAATACAAATAGATTTATAGAAAAAAGTCTGTGCTATCTTCATTCGAATTTAAGAGCATGTGCCACTTAGAGCTTTTTTGGCCCTCTAAATTTCTAAAAAAAAAAATCATAACTGCCTAGTTTGAGTTGACAGTCGGTATTAATCGTTTGGACCCTCTGTGACCTTGTATATATTGAACATGACGTAATTTTCCCTTTAGTCAATGACGTCATTAAATGTGTCATCTTCACCACATCCTGTAAATTCCTGTAAAATGGCCAAAATTCGAAGCATTTAAAAATACTTCATTTATAAGCAACAATCTCCGATCCAAAATATGCCAT